CCCTTGGATGATTTGTTCAAATACATTAGGGTCTTCTGTGACACAGGAGAATTGATATAAAATTGTATTATAATTGGTTACTTAATTAGAGATTTAAGTGGACTAGTTTGTATAATAATATTTGCAGTGTACAGAGATTTTAATGATTAGGAGGATTAAATATATGTTTTAATATGTATATCTATGTAAATACGCACATATCTCAGAAACGATACTATTACGTAAATTTTTTGTGAGGTTACATTGCATTTAAATATTTTTTAAAGAATTTTATTAGAATTTCTAATTCAGAATAATTATTTTAATACTCATTCAAGAACAGTTATCACCAAAATTATATTCGATAATTGTTCATCATATTTATAATGAAAAGATGCTGAGAAAAAAAAGTATATTTTTGTTAGTTACAGAAATTATAATAATTGTTATTTAATAAAATTAATTTAGTTACGTATTATAACAATTAGTGTTAATCGTAGTACATATATTTAAAAACGGGTACAGTAAAGAAGTAAGCAAGCTTATAATTACTAATGTGGTTTAGTTAAGAAATCCATTTTGTATATACTTACTGTTAAATAAGTGATAGCTTACATTGAACTATTGATATATTTAATATAATAAAAAACTTCGCTGTTAATTTATTAACTACTAACCAAAAATGCAAGACATTTTGCTTTTACGAATACTCTGTTACTGAATTATTATAATATTATAATATTGTGTGCATAATTTAAAAATATATGCATATATTTAATATTGATTTAGAGTCGACATCGAATAGATTTATCGTTTACGTGAAAATGTATATTACTTGATTTGATATCTCAATAAATTGTACGTATTATAATGCGACAGTTAGACTAGAGAGACGGACATTTTATATATATACTAGTTTGTTATGTCTCAAATGAATTATTCTCGTTCGAGTCATTAACTCACTATAGTATCTTAAGTTTATTTATAACACTTCTAACTCAAAACTATCGTAAATTTCATCGCGACGTTTGACAGCGAACTCGCTTTTTTAATATGTTTATGAAACTTGTTTACTTCACCGTACGTGTCTTATTTATTAGGTCGTTTAACACATTGTGTAATGTTTACTATTAATATATTAAACTCAAGTTAAATGGACTAATGATGTATTTTATGGACAAAAATATTTAAAAATCAAGGAATATTAGTTGCGCTAAACTATGCCTACCCTTACCCAAGATCCTGTGGAGCCCCAACGCTTAAGTCTCTTCCCAAAAATGTTCTGACACTGTGAAAGACAGGACACTGACGCCGCTTGTTGTATCTTGCCGCTAAAACTATCAACTCTGTCCAATGTCATTATGTCCACATTAAATATTAGTTATATCACACAAAATTCACGTTATATTATAACGATTCGCGTATCAGCGGAGACGTCCGTCCGTGGCGAGGTTTTAACATCGAGTGTGCTCGTAGCGTTTTCCACCAGCCGGGAAAGCTTCGCCCGCCCAGACTGGCCGTGTGGCCGGCAGATGAGCGTCAAGCGGTTAAGTAAAGCATCTATGACGTCACTGCTATAGCGTGATTACGTCACGTGACATCACATCCGATAGACATGTGACTTTACTCAGCGTATAAAGTATATAAAATATAAAAGTGAGAGTCGTATGTACTCATTAATCATGGATACTCTCGTACGTGATATCATAAATCGTATATTTCCTAATAGTTTATATATTTTCTTGATTTCTTACTTACTATTGTTATGAAATTTCATTCATAGGAATATATTATTAATTTTATTTATATTAAGTGATCAATGAACTACATATGGATTCAATTTGGCGGAGGATCAGATGGCGCATTGCAGATTTCATAAACATCTTTACATTGCAAGCCGTAAACTTTCCTATACACATTTGGAAGTTGTATCAAATCTTTTGATCTAATATTTTAGCATCTATTTGTCGTTTATGCTTTCGTGATAACCGTCCATTAATCGGGGGTGCGTCCTTGGCCTTGCCTAACAACCTTCATATCCAGACCACTCCAAGTGAACATTAATTAATTAGCAAATGATTCGCACTAATTACCTCCATCAGATAAAACGGAAGGTTACAAAATAGTGATGGAAAACCTTCACATAACATCGTCTAGTTTGTTTTGAAATTCTTTATAAGTTTGGTAATATCCTCCCTTTTGGAATTACGATTTTATTACGGTTACGAAAATAAAATTAATTATTACAAGCAACAATGACTAAAGATTGTGGAATTCGAATTAATGATTAAAATTCTATATGAGTCTTGTTGTTTCTTTAAGTGGGTAGTTTATTTTCTTCGAATTTCTACTAAAATTATTTCAGATATTTTTTTTTTCTATTACCTATATTACCAGGCAAACGAATGTTAAAGGCAAGTAGCTAAAAACAAAACAATGTTAAGACAATTAAAGAAACTAGGGCGTCTTTCGAATCTTTGTAATAGGTTTATTTTTGGACTTCTAAGTACCATCCATATATCTAATTATTTAATAAAAATTGATATGTGTACATTCACATGATCTCCTTTCTTTATTCTTTTATTCAATTCTTCAACTTAATTTAAATGAAACTAATATTTTTCGGATTTTACTTCGCGTTTTATTTTGAAAAACTACATACTCCCGACGTTTCAGCTACTTTTCAGTAACCGTGATCACATCTCGTCTGCCCGTGATCACGGTTGCTGAAAAGTAGCCCAAACGTCGGGAGTATGTAGTTTTTCAAAATAAAACGCGAAGTAAAATCCGAAAAATATTAGTTTCATTTAAATGAGTACTCGCGAAAATCTTAGATCTCATTATCTTCAACTTAATATCATTTGAAAGAAGAATCCGAGTTCCTTCATAGTTCTCGCTGTAATTCTCTTCGCTCTAAACAATTCCTAACTCTTAAAAATTCATCCCACTCTTCTTATTTTACCTAAATATATTTGCAGTCGTTGCCTATTCGACTTACATATGTATTAACTTCCTTTACACATTAAGTTGCAAAAACGCCGAAATCATTTAAGCTGTGACAAACCGATTTGTGTTTAGACGTTAGAAAAAATAATCTTTTGTATTTGTTATTATATTATTGATTATTAGGTACAAGATTTCTCTATATTATTTATTTATCAGTCGTTATATATATTTCCAACTATTAGGTACTTGTTTCATTCATAAGTTTACTGTAATATATGCTTCTATCAAATCTTTTTTACCTTTAGAATACCTTGTCGGTTGTCTAGATATAAACGCATTTTAAATATTAAAAGGTTACACTATGTTTAAAAAATACATTCATTGAGTTCCTTGAGTATAAACTAATTATAATTTCGAAAAAATTTTAGTCGATATTTCTCAGTAAAATCTGATCTAAAAACTTAACGTTTTCACCTCATGAACTCACATAAAATATTCCCGAGTAATGTGTCGAATAGACAAACATACGGTAGCTTTTTAGAATGTTACACCGGGGTTAGTGGAAATTGTTAAAAAACCCATAAGCTTATGTCGATGGTCGATACCGATCTTGACCATGCGTACTACCTTTGATGTATCAAATATTATGTAAATATTTACTTTACTATATGATTGATTACTTCCGTTATGATAGAACAAAAATATTCAATATTACTCCTTATAAGCAATAAGATATTATTACTATACAGTTCAAAACACTATATGATTTCATCCCTACTAATATTATAAATGCGAAAGTAACTATGTCCGTCTGTCTGTCTGTTACGCTTTCACGCCTACACCACTGAACTGATTTTAATCAAATTTAGTACAGAGATAGAGTTGACCTTGAGAAATAACATAGGATAGTTTTTATCCCAGAATTTTGAAAGGTTCTCTTGGAAACTCGATATAACCGAACTACACGTGTGCGAAGCTGCGGCCGGAAAGCTAGTAAAGAATATTTAACGGTAATTTTGGAGATCTCAAAACAAAATATCTGAATTAATTTGAGATTCTTTAAAGCTCTGTATATATTTTTGAAAGATTTTATGAGACTTAAAGGTTTTCTTTTGCATGATTAATAAAACGTATTACATAATACCATCATAACTTGTTAAGCTAAGATACGTATATCTGGAATGTGATATTTAGACACCAACCGCAGGTCGTAGGGACGTAATATTGGCCATGTGATCTGCGAGGAAGTAGTTAGAGGAAAATCTGTGGCGTTTGTAGATTAAGTCTTAAACAAATAATATCCTAACTGAATTTTTTTTTGTGGCTACCTGGCTGGGTATGTATATTTTTTTTAGTATCAAGAGTGTACGGTTATCTTTTAATTCATAAAATATTTTCATTGAACATTTAAAATTAACTGTCGAGACTTCATACGTTAAATATTAAGTCAGTTAAATATTTGTAAGTAAATATAAATACATACATACATTATATTCAATGCATAAATTATTAAGAAATATGAATTAAAAAAAAATAGTATTTTAATATTTTTAGTTTTTTTGCAATATAAATAATAAAAGAATAATATCTCTATCAGCTATGAATTCACTTTTGATGAGTTTTGAAACACTTTTCTAAGAAGACAGATAAAAATTAAATCATTTCTTTAACAAACTCATAGTTATTGAGTAAATCATTTAATCTCTATATAATACAAGTGATGACGTAGCGTATATCCTCATGAATAACAAAATACACGCGGCGACTTCAAAGCAAGAGGTTTGCAAAACCAGCAGCGTCATGACATCGAATTGACTAGGAAATGTGCGTTTTATATGAGTGAAGTTTAAGAAACATGTTAGGGCTAGTTGAACCGTAGGATCAGTAAGAAAATATAATGACTCAATATGATCATCAAATTATTAGAGCCTTTTAACAAAAAACAACGTCTTGTTTATGATAAACCAATATAAATAGACCTATTTATTTTATCGATAGTTATTTTATACCTTGTTGCCTATTCCGGTGTAGTTTTAACTGTATAGTAGCTATTAATCTTATTATAAAATACTTACTTTGTAATCGTAGTGCTTATTTGTTGTATAGTAAAAGTCCCTTACCTGTAAAAGACATTAAAATTTATTAATCAAGGGATTTTTTTTAAATGGTCATATTCAATATATCATTATGTACATAGTATCAAAATGTAAGTAAAGAAAGTGTTCTTAAGCTATTGAGTTCAAATGGACTTTTGAAATGTTGACATTGAAACAGTAACATTTGACATATCAAGTTTATTTCAAGTTTACATTAAATGTATGTAATCGAGGCGGCTCTGAGTGCGGAATGAGAGCGGGTTAATAAAAAAGTTGTCGCCGACACTCGTAACCCAGATAACAGCTGTAATTCAATCATAAGGCATACAGAACACGATATATTTATGTAATATGTACATTTACCAAAATAATCTCCACGACCATTAGAGCTACACTTTATATAATGTAATGTCAATTCATATTGACATGACGAAGTGTATGAAAACATCAAAAAATGTATAAACAAAAATTATGACGTTTAATGATTTTGTATTAGGTACTTTTGTTTCATTTTAAAAAATAAATGAGATTTTTTCTTTATATTTCACTTCAAAATTAAATACCAGATAACCTATAAGTTAGGAGTATTGTTTTGAAACGTAGAATTAACGAATTTGGCAAAGAATAAAGTAAGTAAAAATTACGATGTTTTAAGTGTTCCCTTTTTATACAATGATGCATATAGGATAGATTTTATATATTTATTTGTGACCGAATTTTTTTCTATATTAAGGCTTGTAGTCAGCCAGCGGTTTATTGTTATTTTACTTGACACATTTACTGCATTACAGATCTTATAAAATAACTGGAAGACGTGATCACAAAAATATCCGACAACTAAAAATTAAGAACAAATTCATTATATTTTATGTATAGGGTGGAGCAAATGATGAGCCACTAAGACTTTCAAAAGCAAGGACTCAATTACCAAATTAATTAGTGATGTCAAGCGTTCATATTCAAGATATTTCATCAGTCGATGGAGTAATACGGTGATAACTATCCGAGGTCAATTTAATGTTATTAAAGTATTTTCTCTCTACTTAATTTCTCTATCTTGTATAATGGTGTGTTAACAAGGCGTATTTCCTACACGGTTCCAACGTAAACATTGTATCATAACTGTCAGGCAGTTTATTTTTAAGCTCGTGTCAGAGCAATCATTAAGCGAGCCGTGACTTGGCAGAGATGCAAATTTTTTATACTTGCCACCATTGTCTCCAACACTATGTGCATTGCCGAATGTCTGTTCCAAGCTATTCTAACATTCTTTTGTTAGCTAACTGTAGAATCTTCGACCTTGCTTGCACAAAGTATCAGTGTTATTATAAATTTAATAAATAGTCAGAAACAGTTGATGGTCATAAAATACTTAAGTTTATACATACGTCGCTAGCTATTAACTAATTTTATTGATGCTTTTGTTCCGAGAAGACTCTTTGAAGGGATATTATTTTTATATACAGCATCAGTCCAAATGGGTCGCTCATAGTGTAGTAGTTTTTAGGATAATGTAACAGAGATACAACAGAATATCACAAATATATATATTATGTATAACAATTTTGTAGCTGCAATTTTGTTACTGCAAAAAAGAAATGGATTAAAACATTATAATCTTTCTTTAATATTAATATATTACATACTTAAATAGAAAACCTAAAGATTTCACTTAGTGACTCAAGATAGTGAATCAAACATTATATATACATATTTAACCATCAATTTGTAACAGATATAATATAGTACTGGTTGCAGTGTCAAGTCTCAGTCCTTTTAAAGATATCTTATTATTATAATATCTTTGAATTTTGTTTAAAATAAAATACAAATATATTTTATCCCTTAATAATTCTCAATGTATATAAATATTCTTGGTCAATTTCATCTCAAAATCTGAGATGAATGGGCACTGAAATACTCGAATCTGAATGGATGACGTAAGAAAGTTAACAATAATGTTGAAGATTGGATCTCGTAAATAATATTACATTTTTCTATTATTCTTTCAGTATCAAATACAATCAATAAAATATAATGTAAGCGTATAAAAAGAAATAGGTCAAGATGATAGCTGATTATAGAACTGTTCGAATGTAATATATTTGTTCGTATATAATATATATTGACTAGTGGATCTCATGATTACTGAACAGGCCAGTTTACTCTGAATGCGGTTCAGACATGTGGGTTTATTGATTTCCAGAATCGATTCAATACGACCATAGTTTAAATCGTAAACCTACCCTGAACTAATATTGTATATCGTAAACACTAATAAAATATTTTAGTAATGTACATATGTATTGAAAATTTGCGTGACAGCTATATATAGAATTCTATTCTCGGCATATAAAATTCCAATTCTATTTCAGTAAGAACTTTAGATTCAAATGTCCAAGTCGTATGTGGAAGTCTATTTTGGTATTGTTAAATTACTTCAAGACACTATTAAATCGTTTGATACACTCGAGACGATGAAAAAGCCAGAGGTTTATTCTGGATACGAGCAGGAAATCGTTTATTTACGACTCCAACCCGTCGTTGTTGGAATAAAACAAAGCAACGTTGATATCTCACTGGATAAACATAACATTCTAATTTACTTCTTTGTTTTGACATCTGGGTTTTGAGGGCGAAACTTTTCCTATTCCTTTTACGACGTCAACACAAGTTTCTCACTAAAACACCCCCACGTCCTTGGCTGCCCTCGTTTGAGGGGTGCCAGACTTGTGTGTCACATACTAAGAATTCAATACATTCATCTTCTTAGACGAACGTCACAAAAGCATGCGAATTTTTAAACACATGAAACTTAAAACCCAATTAGCGGTTGAAGACACCGCGTTATAATTGTACCGTCATATAAAATTAAAAGTCTATTTTTGGATCAGCGAATATCTTAGTGGGATATCATTGCGAAATCCACGGCCGAGTTATGTCAGAGCGATGATGGTTTAGAGCTGGTGCCGTCTCTATAATGAGCTCGATAGCAACGATATCCAAACATAATAGTACGAGTGAACCAAATATATAACAAGAAGGATGCTTGTTGTGTGTTTTTAAAGAGTCCTATTTCTGTGTACAATGCTTGCCGCACGTGGTTTCTAATTCTGTATCGCTGTTCAGTTGTTACTCTCAGGGTATTTTCTCTCACGTGGCTATATTACCACTTATAAACAACACCCACGCACTATGTCTGGAAATCGATTACATTCTAACGCCGTATTAAAATTAAATTGAATATCTTTTAATAGAATTAAATGGTGATTCTTTAGTATTAGTTTATTTTAAAGGTTCTACTGACTTGTTTGAATCCTAATATTCAGTTGTAAGATTTAGTAATAAAGACATTTTTAAACAAAAGATCTTCATATGTTAATAATTCAAAACAACGAGCATATATTTCTAAAACAGTATTTTTTCTCTGTTAAATAATAAAGTAAATAAATCAGGTCGTCTGATAGGATTTAATGTTCTTAAACATAATTACGAACATCGTGCGTTCTCGTTTACCGGATTATTCGGGTAGGGTTTTATTTATTAATATAATTATATAATAATAACGAAAATGTATCTTTTTATTACATTCTAGTATTATGGTAAAAGAGTAAGAGGAAAAAATTAATAATAAAAAAGTATATCAACATTCTAAAAATAAAATTATTAGAATTCTAATAATCATGTCTATTATAAAAACGGAATAGTGGGCTGTTTTAATTTGTAACAGACGGAATTCATTACAACGGAACTCAAACGATTCGAAGCTTGTAAGACCCGAGGCGTAAGATTAATGTATGTAGAAAGTTAGAAAAGATATCGCTAATGTTATAATATGAACATTAATTTGTTTCTTCATAAAAAACAGTACACTTCCTGCTGTATGATCAGGTCGATGTATTTGGTGTAAATAAATAGTATGCTAATTCTGTATCACAAATATTTTCGCATCCCAATTTCCCAATTACGATGTTATGTTCTAAGGAAAACGGATGTTGTGTAAAATTACTAACACATTATTATCTACCGATGACACAACGTTTTCTACATCTCTGTATGTAAATTAAACTCAATCATTTTACAAAGGAATTAGGACGTTAATGGTTCTCGAGTCGAACTAACGTTTATATGATTTATTGCGTAAACAATTTTCCTTGTACAAATTTGAACAAATATCTTATATAGGATGTATAGAAAAAGGTTATTTTGTATTAAATTTATGTTATACAGACAAAGTTAAACCTCCGAAATAGGCTTGAAGCTACATACCACGTGCCGATTTTCGATCATCCTTACGACAATCGTGACCTTTAAACCTTACAATTTAGTTAACATTATAAAAATCTTACTTTTTATAAACAAGTTTCATAAAACAATATTGATTAAGTAATCTCAGTATATTAGTGTCAAAAAAGTCAACATTTTAAGCTGAGATTAAAAATTAATTAAAAAATATTTTCTGTCAAAACAAAACAGGAATTTATGATTCTTAATTTGATATTGAGTGAACTTTCACCGTCACGAAAATATAGACGTAGAATATTGACGAAATCTTAAAGGAGATGTGGCCTAGAATTTATATTAATGAATTGTTATCTGAAGTTTGAAGATTCTATCTGGCAATTTCCCAGCTTTAACCAGGGTCTGCCTTCGATGTGTGAATAGTTTTGGCTAATTGTTTTTACGACCGGCCGCCTGCCTGAACTCAAACCTCTTTTGGGAATGCATTAATCAGTGATGTCTAAATACTCTTAGAAAGTACATATGATTCGGAAAAATCCAGGATCGAACCCGCGTCCTCGAGCATGAGAGGCGGGCCTTTTAACCACTAGGCCACCACTGACATGAAGATCGACTTTATTATTGTTTGATTACAACCGCTTTTTTCTTCCTGTTGTGATGAATTTCGTGTTATAAATACTGAATGCGTACGCAAAAATATAAAAATAATTATAATAATTGTTAAGAAAACACAGGAAACGTGTAATGTTACTGTATTAAAAGCATACCGATGTATGGACTAA